GTGATTTTGCACGGAAACCCCCTCCGCACGGGGCCTCAATCAGGCCTGTTTCAGGGAACCCCGCCTTACCAAGGCCTGAAGCCCCCAAAAGCTTTTGGAGATCCCTCAGACAAGTTTTTTTTAGGGGTGGGTTGCAGCTCCAAGTTCCGTGAACTGCTGCTGCGTGATCGCGCTGATCTGGTTCATGGGAGTCCCACACCTCAAGCTGTCAAGTGCTTCCCGGTTTCTGGTGTCCTGGTGCCGTCTGGTGCTGCCTTTTGATGATTCAAAAAAAGACCCCGAAACTTGAATGACTTTGTGGGTCACCGTGAAACCTGACTGCCGGCCGGGAGGCTGCCCGATTAACCCAGATCAGGAAGTTTAGCCAGGTTATGTTTTCTCAAGGGACATGGGTGCGTCTTCTGTCGAAGGTCCCCTTTTTCGGGGTTGTTTGAAAGGGACACCTAGAGGAGATTGCCAATTTTGAGGCTGCCCGTCGAGGGGAAGCACACGAACAAATCCACAGCAAGCCACAATCAGAACCCGGGTGGATAAAGGTTAGGTATGGGACAGTTCTAACCATAGTTAGGTGTGGCCACCCTTTTGATGCTTTACACTGTGCCAGGTTTTGATTGTGGCTCCAGTGAGCAGCGCTGCCGAACTCGCGATCACGTGCAGTGCTGCTTGCCACCGAGGAACTTGGTGTTGACGCCTCCAAGCGTGAATTGAGCAGCGCCCAAAATCCAGTGACTTGGGTTCTAACAACCTGGTGATAAAGGCTGGTAACATAGGCCTCACATGGGCTCACTATACTTCCGAATCATGCCAAGTGAACCACAAACTAAAATGGACAATGGTAGTGTTGGGGCTGCTCAATGGTCAGCGCACGCTGTCGACGGACAAAATTCCTTGCTCAAATGACATGGAAACATAGGGTGGTCTCAAGCCCTCCATCGCAGGGGAATTTGGGCAGATTTGGGTAGGCTGCTCTTCCCATCCGTGAACAGCACTTCAGGGTTGTTGACATGGAAAACAACAACGTCATTGGAGAGTGCTGGTACCAGAGGTTTATTTGGTCAGTCGCTCAGCTACCAGGTCCTGACAGAACTCCGAGTAGCTCCAAACGTCTCGCTCTCCAAAGGCAACTTTGGATAGCCCCAGCTCTGTGGCTCCCTTCCAACCACCATTCATGTCCAAAACCACTCCCAACCTCCCCAGTAGAAGTTGTCGCCCACATTCACCACAAAGTCCGGACCGCTCTCGGCGGCCTCGGTACAGCATTGAGCCCCCGCGATTTGGGCGCCTTCTGTTTGGGGCCCCTTAGGACGAAACCAAGAAACACGCGGGCCTTTCTACCGCCTTCCCAAAAAAAACGGGTCCCAACAAGAGGGAACCCGTGTTTTGATATGCTTGAAGAGACAACGAGAGGGCCCCGTCACTTTACAGGGCGTACTACCAAAACACGCCCTGACTTTCCCTTTCGCGCGTCAGCCGAGTCTGCGGCCCGCTGCTTCATTTGCTTGGCCACGAGCGCCTGTGCCTGCCTCGGGGTGTCAAGCTTTGTCGGACATGGACTAGGAAGCTTAAGCTTCCAGTGGTTCGTTGATCCCTTAAATGTTTCAATTCCATTGGGATATAGCATAAACCCCTGCAAACCCGAAAAGCCTAAAGGCTAAGGGTATGGCTGGGAACCACCAAGATTGGGGAGAAAACCTACACCCCCTCCCCCAATCCAGGAAAGGTTCTTAGAAGGGTTCTGAGAGCCTTTCTGGGAATATAATATTTTGCCCTACGGCTACTGGGTTGGTCTTCGACACACGCATCATTACAAAGCAAACGAGAATCAATCACATGGGACTTTCCAGCTCCCAGTCAGGCCGCTTGATGAAACATGTTGACACCACCAAGCGGTTGGGTTTCCCTTTGAAGGGAACAACGGTTTTGCAACCACCAGACTGTTTACACAACGTCATTTTGATCAGGGACGCGATTGCTCAACCAACCAAAAGCAACCAACACCGACCAACCGAACTAAGCAAGCAAAAAGACACAAATAACATGTGTTTGTGTTTGAATCAGTATACCCTCAATATATATATATATATAGATATATAAAAACAGCGTTGGAGTGTTTCTCAAAGTTACTGCCCCCATCCAGGTAGTTGGTTCCCATTTGGCTTCCCCTTACAGCCATCCAACAATTTCCCCTTACAGCCATCCAAAATGGGGACCCAGCTCTCATTTGGTGTCCCCTTACAGCCGTCCAAACAGGGGACCCCTCCCCCTATTTTTTAGAAACGCGCCAAAATCTTGCTGAACCCGTCTGCTTGACAGAACTCGCGCCTATCCACCTCGCTAAAGTGACAGCTCTTCTCGCAAACGCCGCCTGCGTGTGCAGAAGGGTGCGGCGCTTGAAAAGGGTTGGGCGGAACTTTTGGGTTTGTGTGCACTTCAACTCATGCAGGTTTTTGCTAAAGTAAATGGCCCAGGTGGTTCAACCACTTCCGCACCCTGCTTTCCATCCCAAAATCGAGCATCAGCTTTCAAAGTGAGGCGGGTACCATACGCTCCGAAAATCCTTGGCCGCTGATGGGGGCCTTTGGGGGGCTTCAAACAAGACTGGGAGCTAAATATCAGCTTCCCTCAAAGTGCGGGGCCGGTGTTCGCATCAATCATTTATCCTCAAGACGAGTCAAATCAACAGGGTATGTGAGCAGTCAATGCACCCAACTCACGTGGGAATTTGGTGAGTATCCCCCATCCCGCATTGCCGAATGGTAAGTGATGGTAAGTGTGACTGTGGCCATCCCCTCTTTTACCGCACACAGAAAAATATTGACTGCTGTTGATATCCCTCTTTGATCTTGGGACGTAAAAATTGCCGCGGGGATCACCAGCCTGCGAAGCACTCCACCATCATCTTCGTCTTGCACGGCCCTCGCCACCTATGCGAAAGTCAAAGCGGTTGTCAAGCAATCGAGCAGCGCCCAAGTCCTGTGATTTGTTGCTATCAACTGCACAGTTGTATACGTACACACACACATATATATATATATATATATATAAATACGATATATATATATACATATATATATATGCATATATATATATATATCAAACAAATATTTGCATGTTATGCATACATGCCCTATCGACAAGACCATGATTGTGGGTAGTCAAATCACCTTCAAACTTCAGGGTATCAAACAACCTACCCTGACCAAACACAGATACCCACCCCACTTGTTCTGAAATCGGTGGCCTTTCGAGATAGCTTGTAAAGGGAAACCAAGAGCATTCCCCCTGCATTTTTGGCGAACCACCACGTCAAATGCATTCAAAACTTATAAACCCCTTTGGGGGTAAGGACACACCTACCTATTGGCAGGGCCTCCCCCCCAACCCCTGTTGTACATGTTCCGCTTCGAAAAATGGCTTGGGCGACGTGGCCCAAAGCACGTGGAACAAAAGGCTTGTACATTTCCGATTGGGGGGTGTCACTTCCTTCTGCATGTTGTTCTGAGTTGGATCTCGCTTGTCCGCATTACGGATTTCGAAAAAGCTACATTGCAAAATATGTGAACTAGCTCGCGCGACGAGATATATTCTGAAATGGAATAAGGTCCACAGATTTACAGATTCACGTAAGGTTTTGCCGCAAAGTCGAGCCGCTGTGCAGACGCATCAAACTTAGGCCAAGCCTCCTCTTCCATTTGCCTACGGAGCCACTGAAACTTGAAAGATCTATCAGGAATGCCCACTTCACTTTAAAGCCAATCATGACTTTGATCCAAAGAACGTCCTTGATATGCCGTACCCTGGCATTTGAATGGGGAGCTCAAGACGTGCTCCAGGATCGCCCAAAAGCTAAAGCCGCCAATGCCGAATGCTCAAATTCCATGGCAGGGCCACAAAATCAACAACACCAACAGCAAACACACACACACACACACACACAGAAACTGAACATGAAAATCGAATCAACATCGACACAAACATGTTGGCTGTTGCCCCAGCGCAAAAAGCTTAACTTGTTGGTTGATGAGCGGGAAAACACTCATTTTCCCCGCGAAGCTACAGGTATTTACCACACAGCTACAGTTGTTTAATTTACAGGTTCAAGATCCAACCAAATAGCCAATCTCTGCTTCCACGACACCCCCGCTGTTCGTTGAAAGCCATGGCCTGGCCATGGTGTGGGGCCCGGGAGTATGACCGCCGCGGTACTGGACCATGGGCCTCGGCTTCGCGTCTTCGCGGCCGGGGCTTCCATGGACCAATCCAGGAAATCGACCCGGAGAATGAAGGCAAATGGCCATGGGTCAAAAGCCCGGTTAGTTCCCAGTAAACACCCCCCAATCCAACTAAAAATAAACTAAAACGGGTGGTGCACCTGCCCCAAAATGGTACCATTGGTATCGACCCACAGCCAAAGCAGGCGAACATTGAAACTGGCAAGCTGAGCTTTTGCAAAGGGAACCAGCGATTTGCCTTTGCACTTGGCACCCATCTTCTTTGAGGAAAACCGATAAAAAGAAAAAACAACCCTTGAACTGTGCCTGCCAGACTTGCCCTTTCTCCAACAATCCTCAAAGCCATCTTGTTGCCTTTGACCAGGCTGCTTTTAAAGGATAAGTGTGAAACCTCGAAGGTTTTGGGCCCAGCTGACTTTGTGGCGAAGATAGCGGGCAATGTGGCGAAGTCAGAGACCGCGTTCCACAAATGAACCCGGCTAAGGTGTTTTTTTGCATAGCCCTGGCTTTAGCGTAGCCCTGGCACATCCTGGCGTGCACAAAGGGAGACACTAACGGACAAGGTTCAGGGTGGGTTTAGGGTAGTCCGTTTAGGGTAGGTTCAGGCCTGGCATCGTTTTAACATCCTCAGCATCACCAGGCCATGGTTTAGGTTGAGTTTAGGGTGGGTGCCAGGTTGGCTCAGGCTTGGGTGCGGGTGGGTTCTAGGCCAGTTGAGTAAATTTGGGGGGTGGCTGTGCTTGAGGTAGATGGTTTAGTGCTGGTTTGTGGTGGGGCTTCTTCGGGTTGGTGTCGGGTGGGTCAGGGCTGGTTTAGGGTGGGTTTAACATTGGCTTCGGCCATGAGCCAAGTGGGCTTATACAACCACGACCGAAGCCAATTTAAAACCCACCCTAAACCAGCTAAACCCACCCGAGACCAACCCCAAGAAGCCCGACCAAAAACCAGCACTAAACCATCTACCTCAAGCACAGCCACCCCCCAAATTTACTCGATAGACCTGGAACCCTTCTGGAGCCAAGCCTGAGCCAACCTGGAACCCACCCTAAATTCAACCTAAACCAAAGCCTGGTGATGCTGAGGATATTGAAAAGGATGCTGAGGATGTTAAAGCGATGCCAGGCCTGAACCTACCCTGAACGTACTACCCCAAACCTACCCTAAACCTACCCTGAACCCATTCCGAACCTTCGTCTGACCGAGGCGCCAACCAACCGACCGACCGACCGACCGACCGACTGACCCACCCACCCACCCACCCACCCACCCACCCACCCACCCACCCACCCACCCACCCACCCTCCCTCCCACCCACCCACCCACCCACCCACCCACCCACCAACCAACCAACCACCTGCAAGGGTTAGCCCTGTGCCAGGGCTAGGCCAAAAAACACCCTTTCCAAATGGACCCTTGTGGACAAAAACCTAATACTACTAGCAGCGGTCCTCTGTTTATCGACCACTCTTTTTTCAAGGACCTGAGAAGCAGGGGTCGTCAGGGACCCTATTCAAAGACCCCCCGCACCCTGTTCCTCCCCCCAAAATGAACAAGCAAGTCTGGGCATACTATTACAATTCACCAACTGAAAGTATGGAATCAAAACTTTCAGAATGGGTGTCGTTGCACCCCCGTAGTCAGGTAGTTTTAATTTGCCCAGAAGGAATGGCCCCTCTGGAGGTTCTTGCACCAGCGATCGATCCGGATAGGCCGAGAGTCGCATAGCCACTTCCTAGCAATGAGCCCCAGTCCCCCACGGCGAAGAAGTGCATCGTCTTGGTTCCTGTCGGAGATCTCGACACAACAAAGCAACCCAAGCCGAAAATCGCCCAGGCAAGTATACCCAAACTGGAACCTTCCAGTAAAGAACTTCCCGTTCCGCCCAACCTCGACCGGAAATCAGAGTCCGCCAACTTACATGAACCGTGACTGATCCTTCCAAAAGGGGACATCTAAGAACCCCCCCCTCCCTGTGAATTTGGGAACGATGCAGTGCCCTGCAAACACGACATACAAAGCTTTCAGCGTCAAGCGCGCAGTCCTCCTATTCTCATTGTTTCCCAGGACGCGCCATTGTAGGTGGTTGCCTGGCAGAGCAGACGCACGCACACCCGACAGCATGACCACAAATAATCGATAGGGCCCGATGAGAAGACGATACCACACCGATCAGCAACACCCGGAGGGGCCATCAAAAGCCGATATCCCATCAATATGGTCTATAATTATATATATATATATAACCGTCGAGAGTATCTGTTTTAATTACTGCAAGAATAATATACTATGTTCTAACTTCTTTCCGTAAAAGACAAAAACAGCTATATCCTAAAATATCAAACATCGTTTGGAGGAGACCCCATACCCCTGGGGCCAGCAACGCCGCGGCTTACGCCGCGCCTTGGCTGGAGGATCTAAGCCCCCTCGTCGCATCATCCGCACCGGCGCCGCAGGCGCCATCGGAATGGGCGCCGGCGCCGCCGGCGCCGGCGTCAACGACGGCAGTGGACCTGGCGCGGGGGGGGCCCCCGCCCCCGCCTCCATTGGCCATAGGAACAAACCACCCTTGTCAGCAGATGAAAAAGAAAGTTGCTTTTAAACGAAATGTGTTTTTTAATGATGAAGGTAGCTAATGAATGACTAAGGTATTTGATGTTCAAGGAAGTTGGATTCCTCTTCAGGTTGCTGATTCAAAAGAGAAGCAACCTAGCAAAAAAACTGAAGGCCTGAGTCACTTGAGCAGCGGGAACCCTAAACCCAAGCGACTTGTGTATCGCGACTCAAGATGATTAAAAGGGTTTATGCATGTAACCCTTTCTAGAATCTGTATTCAAACAGGAAGTAACCCTTAGAATGTGCCAGGGTTTTAGGGCATCCATCTGATCCATCCGATTGCTTGCTGGCAGGCCACTGTACTGTGTCGGCGGCGGCTGATACATTGGTGCCGGCGCTGGGTACTGAGCTCCTGAGTCAAACAGCAGCTGGCAAACATCCCTTTAGGCTAATTGTATAAATTCGTCTGAAAGCGAGCTCCCCAGAAAAGGACATAGCTCCAAAACTACAAGGTGCAACAATGAAATATCTGTGGAGGCTTTGTTTAAAAGAGTCGTGCACCTTGTTGTAGGCTTCTTTTGGATCGCTGTAAAAGGTGTCTTCGTCACGCAGAACGTAAACGCCCTTGGTGAGGTCTTGAAAGACTGCCGCCCGGATCACTACAAATTGGCTTGAACCCTTTCCTTAAAGATCTGGGCAAGCCCGTTTTCGTTCAGCGTCCCTTCTTAGCATCTACTGCAGCAGTACTCTGCTTGGAGTAGATAGACTATTCAACAAAGGACCCAACATATCTAAGATTGTAAGTATAGCTTGCGATGGGAACAAGCATTAAACAATAACGCGAAGAAACAACAAAACAACACCCCCAAACAAACCAACCAACCGACCGACCGACCGACCAACAAACACACACCCACACCCACACCCACACCCACACACCCACACACCCACACACTCAAACAAACGAACAAACGAATGAACGAACAAGCAAACAAACAAACAAACAAACAAACAAACAAACAAACAACCAAGCAAACAGAAGCAAGGAAGCAAGGAAGCAAGCACGCAAGCAAGCAAGCCAGCCAGCAAAGCAAGCCAGCCAGCCAGCCAGCCAGCAAGCAAGCAAGCAATCAAGCAAGTTACAAACAAGCAAGGCAACAAACAAACCGCTAAGCAAGCGATTGAAAAGTAAACCGCGCAGCTTAAAATTCAAAATGCAATTGAAGAAATTACACATAAGTAACCGGCAAATATGCATCTATATTTTAAGACAATGGATTGGAATACCCTCTGATGAGACTGGTGTCGGGATTGGCGCAAAATCGGTCTAGAATTCGTCTATATGTGGCATATTCTAGAAGTAGTATTAGGGATCCGGATTTCTGGGACTTCTTAAAAGGGGGCATTTTATTACTAGGGGGAAGGGATTACCAGGGTACACGTCCGCAGCTCCAGCTCGAAAATCGCGACCCTGTAGTACAAGTCTAGTACGAGAAGTACACTTGCGCAGCTCCAGCTCGAAAATCGCAGCTTTGCTCCGGCTCGAAAATCGCAACTTTGTAGTGCACGTCTAGTGAGCGAAGCACACTTGCTTGTACTTTCCTGCTGCCTGCTGCTGTCTTGACCAGAAATGCCCAAGCGCGGCCAACTCTTATCACAAACCATGTTATCGTTTTTGGTGGGGGCCCTATCGTTTTGCGAGTTTTTCGGCACATATATGCTAAAACCAACCCCGCTTTACTAAAGTGGTCTACGTATATTTTGGCCGTGACTCATGTGTTTCCAGCGTAAACTAAACATATCACCCCAATCAAAGCAAACTCACTTTACGTTGGCCCAAAAGGTGACCAAGTTGTCAGTTATGCATACTTGCCGTCCATGCAAATCACAACATGCACCATCATGCATAATTCTGGATAAATTCCCCCGTTCTTTTCGGGAATGCATCTTTGCACAAAACAACCAAACCCGGGGAGACGGTTGGCCTTTGAAAAGAACGATGGTTGAAAATAGTGTCGAAATGACGTCGTAAGTAAGGTTGTCGTGACATGGTGTGGCCGTGCAAAGAAAAGGGATCCCTACTGTGGATGGACAAACTCCTGCACCAGCTATAGATAAAACCCTATAGTGGGATCAGGCACCTGCCAATGTATCAAAATTGAAGCTTTCCTCTTGGTTCTCCTTAAACAAACCTCACAAGGGTACCCTCAAAAGAAGAAGCTCCCATTTTGTCCGTACACAGTCATTTCTGTCAACAACCATTCCTGAACCTCCAGTGCCAGGGGGCAAAAGGACCCTGTCCTTCTTGATTTTGCAGGGACACCCACACAAAAACTGACAAAGGGGTGCAAACAGGGAGGCCACAAGGAAACCCGACTAAGAAACGGAGGCGCCCCGCACCCTGCAGTGGGGTTTCAATGACTCGGAAAAGCAATGAAAAGGATCCCATGCCCATCTCCTACCGAAAAGCGGTTTGGTCACTGTTTTGGAGGCTACCTCCAAAGCACACCAGGAAGAATTGGGGGAAGCCTCCGCACAGTGTACCTGGATTTCCTCTGTGAAAGCCCACACAAGCAACAAAGAAAGACTATGGGGTACGTGTAAACATAAGAGCAACCCAACCGGGCGGATTCCTTTTAGAACCGACCCAAAAAAGGGACCCGAAAGAAACACAAAACCGTAACTCGATTTCCGGGGGGTAACTGGTGCCTCAATCCTCATACTCCAGCTATTGCCGAGCTTCCGCTCGGCAAGCAGTAGGGAGACAGGGGATAATACTGGCAGAAGGCAGGAGGCAAACCAGGAGGGGGCGGCGGCGGACCTCATGCAATCGGTGTCCTACTGCAGACGCCTTTTTGGATGGCTTTAAAGTTAAAGGGGAAACAAAAAAAGGAAAAACAAAAATCCTCCTCCCGATTGTACATTGTAGAGGCCCTACTGGGAAACATATATCAATTACTAAAGGACCCCCCCCCTTTGTGGAAAAAACACAATGCTCTCCTTGCGACTTCGAACACTCACTGCTTTTTGCGCGCCTTTTCCTGATACCCCCATGCAAGCCCATCAATTCGTCACTGTGGCCGGGGAACACAGGACAACCTGCTGTTGCTGGTTGAATTCAGAGGTAACCACAACCAAAGCAAGGAAAACCGAGTGCCACTAGACTAGCTTGTTGCGCATACCTCGCACGCTGCGCTGCTTTCGTTCCACTGCTCCGAGCCAGGTCAAGCTTTATCTTTTGCCGCTTCCTGCTTGAAAATCACGCGCCTGCCACGAAAATGTGAAGAACACTTGCTGGGTATGCCGATATGCATCACTAACTAGGGACCCTCCCAATAGCTCGTTTTTCTGTTGGTTCCATGGGCATCCACCAAAAGGAGGCTCAATCAAACGTTGCCTTTCCAAAGACTGATCCAACTGACAGCGCCAAAACTCTCAAAACAGAAGTTCAACTTTTCCCGGGCCTTTTGTCCTGGCCCACATCTGGGGTTGCACAGAACAGAAAATCATGAGTATCTTCAGATTCAAGGCACCAAGGAAAACCTGAGGATCTCAATTGTTTGGCAAATCAATCTTTGGCCACGGGGAACTGAGTTTGTGTTGTTGTGAGGGTGCCCTTTTGGGGGGTGGTGTTGAAGGGACACCAGGGAAAACATCCAGTTGTTTGCTATTATATGTATTTTCTACGTTAGCTTTAATTGAGTGAGCGTCCTTCTTTCTTCCTTTCTTTTTTTTTGTGTGGGGGGGTTGACACATACACAAATCTTGGGACCACCCGGCGAAATGCCCCCCCCCCTCCCACCCCCTTCTCCCCCCCCCCTTCACCAAAAAAAACACACACATACACAATAACCGGTTTCTGACCCTAAACAGGGACTCGACTCGCCAAATGGCTTGTTCCTCCAAAAGGCCTCCGTCTCCCATAACCCTAAAGTAGCCCCAAACGGGAACCCGCTTCCCGGAATCACTGGATTTCCCCAAATCACAAGTTGCAATTTCCTGGTGATTTCCATTGAAACCATCGGGGAAGCTGAGGGACCTTCGTTGATGGATGACCCTCGCCCGAGGTGCTGGGCATCTGCTTGGCCTGGTAGTAGCACTGAGGTAGCCAGGGTTGGAACTGGCACAGGTACGGGACCTGCGTGGCAAGGGAGCTAACTTGCTGGTTCTCAGCTAGTTGGCACGAGGCATTGTTGGCATCCAAAAACACGGTTCCCCATTTCGACGGGGCAGGGATACAGGTCAGCTGAGATAGAAATGCAAATCGAAAGGGTCTGTGGGTATCTCAGCTGCCACCCGCAGCTTCACGCCTGCCCACAGGCATGGACAGCCAAGTATGTCGCAAACTTCCAGAAGGGGGTCTAAGAAGAAGTTGCCAGATTGTTGGGGCAGGTTGATGTTGAAGACCCAGTAAATTCCAAAACGGGTGCCACAGGTCCAGGAAACACTTTTCTCCTCGTCGCAATGCCTGTCTTGCTGGCATACTTGGCCAGTCGCATGGTTTCATGCATGGCAGAGCTCCGATATTAAGGGTGGGGCAAGTGCCACCTATCCCTTCGCACATTCTACCTGATGGCGGCAGGTTGAAACCCGGTTGGGATTTGCCAAAAGTCAAAACGAGGTTGTACCCCAACTACGCAAAGGGCACCTATTCCCGGTCAGGGTCTTCTTAAAGTCCGAAGCTGGTCAAAACGGTCCCAACCCGGTCGAAACCATGGCTGCGTCAGCTCAAAGTGCAGAAGGAGGAAGATTTGCCGGCCTTTGCCAGGCGCTGCCTCACGAGCTCCGTGATCCGCTCGACCACCTGCCTCTCTTCACAAATGTCAAGGGCCAGCTGCAAGACCTCTTTGGCTTGCTGGTCCTGACGAAACGAACTCTCGCCAGGTGTAAAACATGCGGAAAAAAGGGGTCCAGAAGCTTGGGTGCTGTAGATCCCCCAGCAAAAGTTTAACTTTTTGCAGGTTAAAAGGACATATGAGGGGTGTCTAAAGATCCAACCCAATAGCAGTAGAGGAAGGAGGTTCCTCTAATGGTTCTGGCCGATGCCTTTGCTTCAATCGACGCTACGGTCCCTTGGCTTGGTGGGGAATCATCACTTCTGAGGGGAACACCCCCCTATTGGTTAACTATTTCGGGGTTAACCTTGCTGGTGCTCAGCAGCGAACGAGAAATGCAAAAACCGTCCAACCGGTGGTTTCCTTTAATGGGACCAAAGCCTGGGTTCATTCCAAGCTTCCCCACTTATCGCACCGATCGCAAGTAACACGACTCACCGAAGCGAAGGAAGCCCCGGGCCGTGCCCTGCCGCGCCCGGCCGCCTGGCGTGCGTCCAGCAGAGCGCTGCCCAGATCCAGCAGCACCGCGGCGCCCTCCGAGCTGCGCAGCTGCCCGCAGTCCTACGTGAGGGCCCAACTCACTTGGAGTGGCCACTTGTTCTTGTTTTTGTTTCCCCCCTTTTTTTAAACAAGAAGACACTTGTGTGCCTTGAACCGAAAATTGTGGTCCCAAATAACCCCGGACAGTTGCCACAAGTCAAAACACCTGCTCGTTGAGATCTAAGCCAGCCTGAGATCAGAGTCAACTAGGCCCAAGTGAAGCCGATGATTCCGGGGCATGCGGCCGAGCTACCGATCGACCGACCAATCAAGGAACCAGACCTCAGAAAAAAAAAAGCTCAGGTGATATCCCCAACAGCATGCGGTGCTCTTTTTAGTGCTCGCACCACCGCCGCACTCGCAAAACCTCGTGGAACCTCACCTCAGGGCCGCCCCGGACTGAGACCCCAAAGCTTTCAGCTGTTGGGGGGCGGGGGGGGGGGGAAAAAAGACAGACCCAGGTTTGAGAAAACTCATCCCTCTTTGGAGTTGACCTTGACAAACAAATGACCGTGGCGGGTTTGCTTTGAAAGTCCCTTGAGCGAAGCATCCAAATCAGGTCCTCCTTCGATGTTCGAATCCCATCGGTACGAACAACATGGCCAGCTTGTGCCATCGAAAACCGGGCTGGACTGCAACAAGTTGCATCTCTTTGCTGGGTGAAGGCGAAAAGGAAGGAACACTCAAGGCACGAGGTGAGGAAAAGGCACGCCAGCCCAAAGGAATCATGAAGGACACAACAACAAGCGAACGGTGTAAATGGCTAAGTCTGGCAATGAAAGCGGCCCTCGATTTGCAAGAGCCAGGGGCGGGCAATTCCCCTCGTGAGTCCTCCAAGACTTGCCTGGACTCGTGTAGAAGTTTCAACTCCGTCTCGGAGTCGCCGATCTTGTAGTAGCCTTACTTTCAGGGAACCACATCCCCCAACGGCTTAGTGGTTGATGAGCCTTATGAAGGCCGAGTGAGTGCGTGAAAGGCACGGCACTTCGAAGCAATATATGCTGATTTTGCGGCAAGCGCAGTATTTTGGATGGTCGCCGTTGAATTCGTGGCAGGCGCAGCACTGTGAAGCACGGAACGCGATTTCGTGGCAGGCGCAGTACATCGAATATCGTATGGCAGGTACAGCACTGTTGAAGCATGGTGTGCAGATTTGATGGCAGGCGCCTTTGCAGGGTCCCGTGCGACAGCGCAGCACTTGAAACCCTGGCGTGCAGATTTCGTGAAGGCGCAGTGCTTCACTGTACGAAGTGATAGTTCCTTTGCGTTGGTTGAGGAATGTATAAATTGGGGAGGACTTGGATAGTGGCAGCGTGCCAACAGTAATAAGTCAAGTGATTGCGCACTCGATGCAGTGTCAATATCGTGACTTGTAAGTGCAAGATAGTACTCTGGGCAGCAAATACCGCATGCAACGAAAGCATGCAAAGTTGTTTCTCACAGAGGGCGGTCACAGCTTTTTGGAGCAAAGCCAGTGGATTCGTGCACGCGGGCGCGCGTTCTGGAAGAAGCGAGGGTTAGACGAGTCAGAAGCGAAAGCAAAACTGTCATGGCGTCGCAGGCAAAGGCCCCCGTGTCAGAAAAAAGATGCTGGCCTTGTTTTTTTGTCCAGGGCTGTTTTTTTTGGCCAAGTTGTCACACCTACTTCGCGCGCATGGTCCTTGGTGCAACCAGCTCACTTTGACTGGACGCATGCCACCGGATGATGTGTTTCTCTTCATCTTTGCGATCAGGTTGACAAGGAGGACTTATTTTGGCACGCGGTTTAGGCTACTCCACATTACTTGAACCATACATGCGAGAGCTCTGTGTTATTCGCAGCGGTTGCTTGGCTTGTCTCAGCACTCTAGTAGTGGTCTAGACTTTACTGTTTTGGCTAGAATTGCATTACTCTGGTCGCCGAACCATCTGAGAGCTGGTCTTGCCATGATTCTACTTTGCTTGGCGTGCAGTTACGCTTGAAACATTGAGACAAACTATGCGACCAGCAGTTTGCAGCGGGTTCGTAGCTTCTATCAGGTTTGTGGGGTCTGCTTGAAAGGGAGTCCTCAAGGAGCATCGCCCACTTGAAGTTAGAGACAAATTGAATTCAATTTGACAGGGTCAGCCTGTGAAGTACAGTGAGGTTTTAGATTCTGGTTCATACTCAGTAACCCTTCAAGGGTAAAACATCGGAAAACTCGAAAATACAGGAGCAGGCGGCCCCCTCCGCAGTGAAAGAACAAGTTGGGTCAAGGGAACAGCTCCAAAACAGAACGAGTTGGTTGTGCAGGAAGCTCGTGCACAATAAAACACAACCTTCAGTCTAAGAAAAAAACACGTCCAGCATAAGACATGAGTTTCGGTTGAAGTCAAACCCATCCAGATCAATCAATCGAATTTGGTGAAAGGAACCCTCATCCAACAGTTGCAAATAGAAGGAAACGGAAGAAACACACGCCTTTAAAAGGAAAACCCTCCAAAAGAGAAGGAGCAGGACAAGTCCAAATCAAAAACACGCTACCGTCCAAAGGGAACACGACCCTCCAAAACAAGTTGGCTATAGGCAACCCCATCAGGAAACCTCCATTTGCTCAGTCCCTTCAGTAAAATCACCATCTTTCCAGTAGTGATAGATTCCCCTTGAAAACCAGAGGAACATATTACATACTTCTTAAGCAAATGGAAGGAACCAAAGTAACAAAAGCAAATGCCTCTGGGTTGCACTGAGCATGGTTCTTCAGCAAGACGGCCCCCTGCGCCGTCTGCATCATGCCCAGCTTTCCCAGGACCTCTCGGCTGCTCTCCTGGGCTTTTAGGTGCCACCTTTCTCACTAGGCTGCTCTAAGGTGCCAGTGAAGACCAGCTTATTGTATTTATATATGTATATTTATTAAATTTATGTACATGTATATTTGTAATTATGCTTATATTTAGATTTGTATTTATCTTTAAAACCTCCTTGTGGAGAAATCCGGAAACCCCAAAATGGGCTGCCCGGGCAACTGGAAACATTGACTAAAACCTGCGGGTGGCTTAATTTTGACCCATACCTTTGTCAGAAAATCACCCAAGGTCGGAAACGCCCAGGTTTTTTGAGGGAACGAGGTTGAATGTGGAAAGCGCGAGATCCATCTCTTGGCTTCCCTTAGGGAACCTAGGAAAAAGGGTGCCGTAGTTTTGGATGCCTAAATCAATGGCGTTGCTAAATGAGTAGAACTAAACTGAAACCAATGCCATCAATTTTCAACCTAAAAACCCACACTTCAGCTGCCACGCCAAAACGTGAAGTTGGTTTGGGTTGGGCTGCCATCTGCACCAAACCCCGTCCATTCGCGGGGGGGGGGGTCTACCAGTCCTCAAATGAGTCAAAGCTCGGTGTGAAAGGGGGTCAACGCCTTTGGTAAAGATTCCAGGATTGGATTGACAACCAACCTTTTAGTCAGAATTCAACAAACCAAAGTTCGGATTCGTAACACCAACCAAAAAGTTGGGTCAACTCCGGAACGCGGAGACCGAAGCCCCAAGGATCTCAAACCCAGAAAATCCAGGTGAGTGCTTTCAAAGCACAGTTCAGTCAAAAGAGCAACCTATACCCCTGATTTGTGGGTTGAATTGGTGAGTTCTTTTCACCCCAAAATCAGAGGAGAACTACCCCCCCCATGCTTTCTTCCCGAAATACGACCTTCTACTAATACCATACAAGACTACCATGCGCTGTTCAGACAAGGTCGCAGCATCTTGTATCCCAGGCAGCCTTCTAAGGAGTTTCCCACGTGCCATA